AGAATCACTTGAACCCAGGAGGCGGAGGTTGCGGTGAGTTGAGATCGCGCCACTGCACTCCAGCCTGGTCAACAAGAGCGAAACTCCATTGCAAAAAAAAAAAAAAACAACAAAAGACCATTTTAAATTATTATCACAAAGCAACTAGCTTTCCATTACCACTGAGTTTAAGAAACAGAATATAGTGAGCACTCAAAAGCCTCCCATTTGCTTCCTCCAAATCACAAATTCTCCCTTCCTCACAAAGGTAACTATTATTCTAAATGTTACAGTAATCACTTTCTTGCTTTTCTTTACAGTTTTATATCCTATGCAGAAGTAAATAAACACTAGATTTCATTTTCCCTGTTTTAAAAGTTTTTATTTATAAATATAATTACTTAATTCTCTTTTTTTTTTTTTTTTTTGAGACAGGGTCTAGCTCTGTCATCCAGCCTGGAGTATAGTGGTGTGATCTCAGCTCGCTGCAACCTCCACCTTCTGGGCTTAAGAGATTCTCTTTCCTCAGCCTCCCGAGTAGCTGGGACTACAGGTATGTGACACCACACCAGCTAATTTCTGTATTTTCTGTAGAGATAGGGTTTCACCATGTTGCCCAGGCTGGTCTTAAACTCCTGGGCTCGAGCAATTGGCCCACCTCAGCCTCCCAAAATGCTGAGATTACAGGTGTGAGCCACTGTGCCTAGCCTAATTCTTTTGTGTCTGGCTTCTTTCCATCAACATTAGGTTTATGAGATTCATTTATACTGGATATAACTACAAATTCATTCATTTTCATTCCTGTATAATGTTCCATTATCTTAATATATCTCAACTTCCCAATCCCTTCTACAACTAATGGACATTTAATGTTTTCATTTTGGGGCTACTACAGATAATGCTGCTATGAATATTCTTGAACATATCTCCTGGTACACATATCTTTTGGGTGGATACCTACAGGTAGAACTGCTTATCTTTAACTAGAAAACTGTATTCCAAAGTAGTTGTATTAATTTATATTCTCATCAGCATGGTATGAGAGTTCCTGTTGCTCTACTTAGCAACTCTGTCAGTCTGTTTAATTTTACCTGTTCAGGTGAGTGCACTGATATCATAATATTGTTTTAATTTACATTTCACTGATTACTAGTGTTGTTGATCACTTTTTTTTTTTTTTTGAGATGGAGTCTTGCTCTGTTGCCCAGGCTACAATGCAATGGTGTAATCTCGGCCCATTGCAACCTCTGCCCCTGGGGTTCCAGCGATTCTCCTGCCTCAGCCTCCCAAAGTAGCTGGGACTACATGCAACAACCACCACGCCCAGCTAATTTTTGTATTTTTAGTAGAGACAGGGTTTCACCATATTGGCCAGGCTGGTCTTGAACTCCTGACCTTGTGATCCATCCATCTCAGCCTCTCAAAGTGCTGGGATTATAGGCATGAGCCACCGCACCCCGCCAAGTTATCAATTTTAATGAAGTCCAATTTAATCTTTTCTTTTATATGAGTAGTGTCAGGAATGTATTCACCATTATTATCTTTCAAGGGCTGTTTCATTGTTTTGCTTTCAAATTTAGCTCTATAGTCCACCTGGAATTGTGGTGAAAGGTAGGTGCCAAGTTTCATATGGATATCTAATTGTCCCAGCACCATCTGCTGAGAAAACTCTCTTTCTCCCACCATTCTGCAATGTTATCTTCGTTATAAATCAGGTGTTCATACATTTGTGAACTGGTTTCTGGGCTCTCTATTCTATCCCCATGGTCTATTTGTCTTTTCTTATACCAGTATGACATTATTTTAAATACCATATCTTTGTGAAATAAATCTTGATATCTGGATGATATCCAATCTTGATGATATCCTCATACCTTATTCTTCTTCAAGAGTATCTTGGTTATTCCCGGTTCTTTGTATTTCCACGTATGAGAATCAGCTTATTAACTGACACACCACACATGCGCAGACTTTGCATTTTTATTGGGATTGTGCATTGTCATCGGTAGATTAGTTTGTAGAGAGCTGATATCTTAAAATATAGAGTCTTCTAATCCATGAACATGGTTTATTCCTTCCAATATTAAAGTCTTCTTTAACTTCTATCAATATATTATTTTCTATATAGATGTCTTATGTGTCATTTTTAAAGTTTATTCCTAGGTACTTAATTTTCTCTCAGCATTTAATCTTTTTGATACTAAGATTAATAATATCTGTAGTTGAGTTGAATGGTGGCCCCTAAAACAGTATATCCATTTTCTAACCCCTAGAACCAGTAAATGTGATAAATTTGGTAAAAAGATTTTTATATATTTGCAGATATAATTAAGTTGAGGATGTCAAGATGAGATCATCCTGGATTATCTGGGTGGGCCCTAAATTCAATGATAAGTATCCTTATCAGAGAAAGACAGAGAGAAGGAGAAGGCCACATGAAGAGGCAGGGATTGCAATTATGCAGTCACAAGCCAAAGAATGCCTGGAGCCACCAGAGGTTAGGAAGAGACAAGAAAGCATTCTCTCCTAGAACCTTTGGAGGAAGCCCCCACCCTACGGAAACCTTGGTTTCAGACTTCTGGCCTCCTGACGGTGAAAGAATAAATTTCTGGGCTGGGTGCAGTGGCTCACACCTGTAATCCCAGCACTTTGGGAGGCTGAGGCAGGCAAGTCACGAGGTAAGGAGATCAAGACCATCCTGGCCAACATGGTGAAACCCCATCTCTACTAAAAATACAAAAATTAGCCAGGCACAGCAGTGTGCGCCTGTAGTCCCAGCTACTTGGGAGTCTGAGGCAGGAGAATTGCTCAAACCCAGGAGGCGGAGGCTGCAGTGAGCTGAGATCGCGCCATTGCACTCTAGCCTAGGCAACAGAGCGAGATTCCGTCTCAAAAAAACAAACAAACAAACAAACAAAACCCAAAAAAGAATGTATTTCTGTTGTTTAAAGCCACCAAATTTATGGTAATTTGTTATAGTAGTCCTAAGAAACCAATACAGTACCTTTTTTACAATTTCATTTTCTCTTGTTGCTGCTATACAATCAATTTACTTGCTTTTTTATTGACTTTGCATCCTTACAAAGCTCAGTTCATCTGCTCTTTACATGAGTAGAGAACAGAATATCTTATCCAATAAATATAATAAATAAGATGGGAATAAAAAGTAAAAATAGAGTGAATTTTTGAGTAGAGGTAGGGGTAACGGATGGATCTTAGAAATTATCTAGAAGCCCTGCTCTCCTTTATTTTATGAAATTAGGACACTAAAGTCCAAAGAGCTCAACCAGCTATCTAGTGGCAGCATTAGAACTAAAACATAGGTTGCTAAATGCCTAGTTCAGTGCCCTTTCCAGTCTACCAAGTTGCCACTATACCCGATGACTACCTCCTCTGTAACCATTATCCACTGACCAGTTTTCAAACCTTCCTTTTTCTTTTTTACCAAAGAGTCAACCTTTAATGCAATAGTTATATATTAGACTATCAAGAGAGGAATTATGCACAACTTGATTTTGCCCAAGAACATTCTTGTGTCCTCTAAGAAAACAACAACAACAACCCAAACTTTTCCAAAGCTGTCCGCATTTATGTGATAGTGAAGATGTACATACCTACATAAACACACAGGAAACATAAATTGTGTGTGTGTGTTGGTTTTTGTTTTTTTCTAATTTTTTTAGAGACAAAGTCTCACTTATTGCCTAGGTTGGAGTGGAGTGGTTATTTACAGGTGTCAGCATCACAGCATATTATAGCTTCAAAATCCTGTCTTCAAGGGATCCTCCTAAACATGTCTGGCTTAGGAAATACTTTTTTTTTTTTTTTTTTTGAGACAAAGTCTCGCTTTATCACCCAGGCTGGAGAGCTGTGGCGCAATCTTGGCTCACTGCAACCTCTGCTGACCAGGTTCAAGCAATTCTCCTGCCTCAGCCTCTTGAGTAGCTGGAACTATAGGTGCATGTCACCATGCTCAGTTAATTTTTGTATTTTTAGTAGAGATGGGGTTTCATCACGTTGGCCAGGCTGTTCTCAAACTCCTGACCTCAGGTGATCCACCTGCCTCAGCCTCCCAAAGTGCTGGGATTACAGGTGTGAGCCACGGCGCCCAGCCATTTTCTTTCTTTCTTTTTTTTTTTTTTGAGACAGGGTCTTGCCAAGGCTGGAATGCAGTGGTGCAAGCAAGCATGGCTCACTGCAGCTTTGACATCCTAGTCTCAAGTGATCCTCCTGCCTCAGCCTCCAGAGTAGTTGAGACTATAGGCACACACCATCATGGCTTAGTTTTTTTTTTTTTTTTTTTGGTAGAGATGAGGTTTCATTATGTTGCCCAAGCCAGCCTTGAACTCCTGAGCTAAGGTGATCCTTCTGCTTCAGCCTCCCAAAGTGTTGGGATTACAGGTGTGAGCCACTGCACCTGGCCAGGAGACACAAATTTTTAAAGAAAGTAGTACTCAGATGCACTGACTATCCTGTTGCCTCTTAATATACGGATGAGGAATGTCATTTCATACATTAGCCATCATGAGTAATACTAAATCCTGGCTCTGATCACTTATATTAGCATATATAATACATTGAAAATGCATTCATAGCAACAGATTTTGAGGACAGGATAAACAAATTTTAAAAAAAATTGTAAAATTATTAAATTTTAAAAAGTTAAAGAAAAAAAGAGAAGAAAATGCATTCAGTGATGTTGCAAAGACAGAAAATGGCTATTTCACAAATGACACTAGCAAGACCGGCAGTGAGTTGCCTAACATTTAACTAACCATTTTTCGGTGGACTGCAATGATGTAACCTGTAAAGGGGCTGTCAGGAAGAGATGACATGTGACCATTAACCATTCCATTTGTGAAGTTCTTCTCAGTTCCACAAGGCACAACAGTGTTTGGCATTCCATTGGGGATGAATATTGGTCGGGGTAGGTCCCCATTGGTAGTTAAGGTGAACATTCCATTTGTAGATGGTGAAGAGGAGAAATCTACAAATTCAAAGATAAGTACAGCATCATAAGCTTGTGGTACTTTTATCTTTACTCTTTTCTCAAGTATCCTGAGGACCAGAGACAGTGTAGTCTCTTAACACAGGGCAGGGAGAAATCATAGTATAAATAATTCTAGATTTATTGGAAGATTTTAATTTACAATTTTACTTCCCTAACTCATACTTTTAACTAAATGAAAAGGAAAGAGTAACTGCTGGAAACTATTAAGCAGAATTTTTGCAGAAACCTGTATCAGCACCATGTTGTAGCACACCAACAGTTCTACCACTTGTTTTCTTTTCCTTCTCTTCGCCTTTGAAGACACTGTCCAATACAGTAACCTCTACCCAGATGTTGCATTTAAAATTTAAATTAGGCTGGATGCCGCAGCTCACATTTGTAATCCTAGCACTTTGGGAGGCTGAGGCAGGCAGATCCCTTGAGCCCAGAAGCCAGTGACCAGCCTGGGCAACATGGTGAAAACCCATCTCTACAAAAGATACACCATAGCTGGGCATGGTGGCACACATCTGTAGTCTCAGCTACTTGGGAGGCTGAGGTGGGAGGATTGCTTCAGCCCACAAGGCAGAGGCTGCAGTGAGCCAAGACGATGCCATTGCACTACAGGCTGGGTGACAGAGTGAGACCCTTTCTCAAAATAAATAAATAAAATACAATAAAAATTAAAAATGCATTACTCTCAGTCACACTAGCCACATCTCAAGTGCTTAACAGTTCATGTGACTGGTGGATACTGTACTGGATGGCAAAATCACAGAAGTTTCCACCACTGCAGAATTATATTGGACAGTGATGCTCTAAATTAAAACTAAAATTAAATCATCCATCAACTCACCGTCAGACTATCTACCTACTACACGTCAATGAGGGGAGCCTCATAAAGCCCTTTATACTTGGGGAATTAGCCTAATTGTAAGTAATATAAAGAATAGACAAAGCATACCAGTGGCTAAAAGGACTCAGTGAGTGACCACATTAAATTACATATAATATTGGATTTCTTTCTAGCTATATCTATTATTTATATTTTCTGGTAGTATGTTCCTCTCATACTAGCTGTTGCCATGTTAGTATTAGATCAAATAGATCTGAATTCCAAGGGTATATTAGCTAATAATAACTACCTATCTAACTGAAGTCACTTGGGTTCCCTAAATTTTAGGTTTCTCATCTAAAAAATAAGGAATAATCAGTAAGGTTTCCCTTGGGTTCCAAAATTATTCTGCTATAGTATCTTCAGCATGAAGAAATATAAAAAAGATGACAACTCTTAGACAAACATTTAAAGGTGCAATCATGAGAAGGAGTTCTAGTTCTATCTTACCTGTCTGTGTTGGACTAGAAGCTGAAATTGGAGATGCAGGGACAGGAATTTCAAATGCACACAAAAATCCACTCACTGAGAGTCGTACTTTTTGGTTGTCCTGAGGAAAGTTCTACAGAAGCAGCAGCAAGATGAGAAGGGGGAGATGTTTCAGATAAAATGGAAAAGTTCTCTCTCTAATGTATTTCAAAAGAATGTCTTAGGTGCTTTCATCCGTAAAACCAACAAGATGATTTCAACTACATAAAGGATGAATGCTTGATAAAAATAACTGAAAACTAAGCTCAACTGTCGAACTAGTATCTCTTTCCACAGGAAGAAGTGTATTGTATATGACTGACTTCTTCAGTTTTGTCTTCGTTTCAGGGATCTAAATTCCAACTCTCAGAGACCCCATTTTTACATTTCATATTAAGAAAATGTCAATGAGGTGGGTGTGTGTTCAGAAATCCCAAAGATGAATATAAATAATACCAGTTGCAGGAGCTTAGAGTAGGCAATATATTTATTAGATTATTTATTTCCCCAGCTGGTATGTAGAAAGACATGATTGGTGTTAATTTGTCTTTACTCTTTTAATTTCTTAGTGTGTTAAAAGACCAAGTATATATATTCATAAATACTAAAAACACATATTCATAAATACATAAAATACTTTAACCTAGGAAGAATTCTAGTAACAGTGGTAATACAGAAGAGCTGTCAAGTGTAATAGTAGCAGTCTTTGGTAACAGCAGCAGTCTTTGGAGGAAACCCATACTATAGTGACACAGCTAGATCACTCCATATAGGCAGCCTTACATATTTCCCTTCTTCAAAAATACCACCACCAGTATTATTCCTTTATTCTGGTAGAAAACTCTTTTAAGTTTCTGGTAGAAAATGCAAAAAGTTTAAGCATTTTGTTGTTGTTGTTCAGTTTTTGTCATGTTTTAGTATCTCTCTTGGTCACATAACATAACAAGTGATCACAATAATTGAGAAAAATGTTATCTTTGAAGGATAGAATCAAAAGTTTCTTAGAGTAGTTAACATTACCTTTATGTTGGAACCATGTACTTCTGCTAGAAGGATTTGCTCTGAATTAAGTCCACAGAGATCGCTCAGCTGTTTTTTTAAACCTGTGTACTTTTCATCCATATTCAGCCTTAGTCCATACCGCACAGGGGTAGTACCATCTAACTTAATCACTAGTAAAGAGAAAAGATCTTTTATCAGTAAAATGCAGGTTTCATCGAAAGTCTTACATACTGTGTATAGATATATATGACCTGTAAATATAAGCAAATATTTCAGCCTAGAATTTTTATTTCATGTGTAAACATGAAAACAGATGGTACTTTGGGATAATATTGAGTGAAATCAGTATTTTTCTCGTGTTCATCTGACATAAAAGCTTGAGTGGCTTTGCGGGTTTTAAAGAGAGTTGCTGGCATATTTGAAACCAAAAAAACATGCCACAATCTAAATCTTTCAAACCTCAAGTCATGCCTAAAATTAGGTTGCTCGATTATAATATGCTGCCTACCAGTCTTTATTTGTAAACAAACAACTATGCTTACAAATTCAGGCTATTTAAATAAAGCAAATTTAATGGAGTCAAGTAATTTTTCAGAACTTTGTGACCTACCTGTTATTTCTAAGTGCATATAACTGTCCATTGGTAGTGGCAAAGACAAAAAATTGAAAGGGTCAAATCGGACACTTATATGCCCACATGTCTTGCATTTGACTTGAGATCTTAGCTGCCCATGGAACAAATCCACAACAATTGATCTATTTCTTCTTAGATGGTTGTCCCAGGCCTAGCAATAAAAAAGATGAGAATTTTCTCTCAAAAATCCAAAAGAGAGGCATTTCTATATAAATTCAAAGAAACTGGTTAAATATACTGGATTTAAATGTAAAGAATATAATCCTTACTCTTCATTTACCACAAAATATTAAATTGAGATGGAATATCCTATTTTTCATTTGTTCTTATCACGGTAACAATGGTAAATATTAAAGTTATTTGTCCATTAACAAGTATAAAGCATGCCTATAGGTCACTGTATGCATTACTTTAGCAATTATGGGGACTCTTTAAATTCCACTGGATACTTATTCCTACATCCAGTACTATAAAGTTTACAATGTGAAATAGCAACAGTTTTCTATTTTCATTAAAGGTGTTTTTGTTTTGGCAACACTGCATAAGCATTAAGCATACAGATAGAAATTCCTTCATTTTCGCAGTAAAATTCTGATCTCAGAATAGTTTAGTTTGCATTTAAATTGTGCTACATGTATTTATGGCCAGAACATTTTGTCTATTGCTTACATTAGAAACTCAAAACTGACAAACCTCTGCAGCTACTTCCCAGTCTGGTCGGCCATCACTGTCCTTCAGTTCCACATATGGCTTTTCATGGACTCGGTTGAGATCTTCATGAAGACCATCCAAGAGAAAAGCCAGAAGTTCTTGGGAGTCTTGTTGCTGAAACCCATTAAACCTGGGAGCATATTTTGCTATGGTCCACTATAAATATAAGAGGAGTCACGGTCATTATTTCCTACCCATAAAATTTGGAATGAGTATGTCCTATAATCCAATCAGAGCCATTGTAAGAAAATAAATAGTATAGTACTTAGTCTGCCTCCATTTCAACAAATATATTTTGGATAATCATGAAATCTTTTGAATCTTAATGTCAAATGACAAAAAAAAAAAAGAAGTATTTTGGCCAATACTGTGTCCTTAGTTCAGTATCAACTGTTCTTCAGGCACATAGATGTTATTTAAGACAGAAATATTAAAACAGCATTTGCTCGCATTGAAAGATAATCCTGTTCTATAATGTTTTACACATTTTTATAAGCATATAAAATATGTATATTTTGGCCGGGCGCGGTGGCTCAAGCCTGTAATCCCAGCACTTTGGGAGGCCGAGACGGGTGGATCATGAGGTCAGGAGATCGAGACCATCCTGGCTAACACGGTGAAACCCCGTCTCTACTAAAAAATACAAAAAACCAGCAGGGCAAGGTGGTGGGCGCCTGTAGTCCCAGCTACTCGGGAGGCTGAGGCAGGAGAATGGCATAAACCCGGGAGGCGGAGCTTGCAGTGAGCTGAGATCCGGCCACTGCACTCCAGCCTGCGCAAAAGAGCAAGACTCCGTCTCAAAAAAAAAAAAATGTATACTTTATAGGTACATAATATATACACAATGCATGCATAATGTGTATATAATAATACATAATATATGTATAAAATAATATGTGTATATAGTATTTTATATAATGTAATGTTGTCTTCAACAATCACATTTTCTGGTCTTGTTGCATTCTAACTTTTATTAACTGCGTTATATTATAGAACTACTTAGAGGATTAAATGAGTTAATGCATATACATTAATTAGAATAGTGCCTGGCAAGAGGTAAGTAGTTAAATGTGTAGCTATTATAGTTATTAATTTGTAATATAAAAAGCTTTTGCTTTGTATTTAAATAAAAATAATGAATGATCCTAACCTCACTAAAATCTACTACATCTGATATTAATATAAAACTTATATTCATTAGTTTCATTCATTCATCCTGCCACGTTTTTTTTTTCTTTTTGGAGACAGAGTCTTACTCTGTTGCCCAGACTGGAGTGCAGTGGTGCAATCTTGGCTCATTGCAAACTCCTCCTCCCAGGTTCAAACATTTCTTGTGCCTCAGCCTCCCAAGTAGCTGGGATTACAGGCATGCGCCACCATGCCCGGCTAATTTGTTTTTAGTAGAGACAGGGTTTTGCCATGTTGCCCAGGCTGGTCTTGAACTCCTGACCTCAAGTGATCCACCTGCCTTGGCCTCCCAAAATGCTGAGACTACAGGCGTGAGCCCCTGCACCCAGCCTACTTCTTTATATTCTAAAGACAGAATTATCTTAGTTATGTTGAAAATGTATTGGATTGGATGTAATTAATAAGACTCTGAGGTCCACCTTGCAGTTAGAATATCGCTAATAGTGAAGTATTACCAAAAAAGGTTTACTCTTCATATAAGACGTTTGACAAATTAGTAAAATGAATGATATCCCAAATTTACAGTGCACCTTTGGTCTTTTTCCTACCCATTACATATACAGTAGTATTTTGCATATATTTAAACAAGCAAAAGAATTTGGCATCTTGTTTATACCAAGTGAAGGATCCAAAAACATTTATTAAGCTAAAAGGCTAAACACAAAAAACAAGTAGAGAAAAATGATTAAACAACTATTTAGGAATTACATACTTTTATATTATTTTAACCTGCTTACCCGAAGCTTTAATGGGGCAACATTCTTCTGAGTTCCACTCCAAAGTTCCTGTACTAAATCACCATAGCATTTAGCCATATGCCCCTTCATACCAATGGGATTTGTCCTAGAAGTTTGAGAGGAAAATTTGTTGCCAAAGATTCTCATAAATCACAATCATGTGGGCACAAAAATGCCTAGCATCTCACATCAAAATATCTTTTCTTTTTGAAACAAGAGATGTATTCCTTGGCCTATTTCATATTAAATAGGGCAAATAAGATAAAGTCTTTCTCCCGCAGGGTAAAAAAAGAGGAAATTTAGGTGATATTGGGTTTATATCAAAGTCACAAGTTAAGAGGCCAGTGACTCAAGAAAGATTACCTGTTGAGTTCATAAAGATGTCTCCCTGAGATAAAATACTGTGTCAGTGGCTGTGTGTTACTAACACACTGGATGCTTGAGTTCATGAAGCATGTGTTTCCCAGGTTGCTTAGACCTGTGGCTCCCTTTTCTGTGGGAACTGGAACAAACAATATGAGAACCAAAGCTTAGCTGTAGTAATATGCCATAGCACAAACAGTTAATTACATTCAATGAAAAGATTTTTTATAACTCTCATAATCAGCTAAATGGTGCTAATAATTCTCTAGCAGGTCTTTGAAATGCTAGAGAAGGCTTTTCATGGAGTGTCTGGTAACAGTGATGATCCATGCTCATTTGTAACCCAGAAGCAGCAATTATTCTTTTTAATTGCTATGATTTTTCAAAAGAATTCAAACAATTCTTCTTCTATCTAGTATGTCTTTTAAAACATGTAAATTATTTAATTGCAGAGTTAGAAATCTGGAAAATAATTTGATGGTGGGTTTGCCAACATCAAATGCTGCTTCAGGAAAAAAGAAAAAGAAGCAGGGGCCTAATTACTTTTGAACTAGAAAACCAAAAGTTATTAGCACTTTAATAGTTGAGAGAAGAAAAAAAAAAGAATACATTTAAAATAATCTCTTTAAAAAATAATACTGGAGACTTACCTTTGTGTCTATCTATTTTACTACTATTTGCTATAAAAGACATCTCCTCAGGCCAACTCATATCTTTGTTGCGAACTGGAAGGACAGATAGGAATGTGTTAATTTCTTATCTATCTAATTTACACCCACTCGATTGCTTCTGTTTTTTTTTTTTTTAAAAGACATCTTATTCCTAAATCAGAAGTTTTAAAATCTAGTTAATTCTAGTACATGCGTTGCTTAACAATGGAGTTACATTCTGAGAAATGCATCACTAGGTGATTATGTCTTTGTGTGAACAACACGGAGTGTACTTACACAAACCTAGGCTATGTACGGTATAGGCTGTTTCTCCTTGGTTACAAACTTGTACAGCATGTTACTGTATTGAACACTGTAGGCAACTGTAACATAATGGTAAGTATTCGTGTATCTAACATGTTAGAACATACAAAAGGTACAAGTAAAAATATCGTATTATAATCTTATGGGACCACCGCTGTACACAGGTCTTTTGTTGACTGAAACATCTTTATGCAGCACATGCCTGTAATTGGCTCTAAAACCATTCCTATTCTTCATATTGAGGACTTTAAAGTCACTTGGTTTGAATAATCCTTTCCCTCAATTACCAACTTGAAGTAAAATTATACTCAACCATCTACAGAAGTAATTAAAGTTCAGAAACAATAGAATTTCTTATACTTAAAACATTAGGAATATTATAATTCTTTCTTAAATTGTAACAGCTGTCAGGGTAATTTTTTCCCGGTTTTTTTTTTTTTTTTTTTTTTTGAGACAGTCTGGTTTTGTCCCCTAGGTTGGAGTGCAGTGACATGATCTTGAATCACTGCAACCTCTGCCTCCTGGACTTGACTGATTCTCAGTGCCTCAGCTTCCTGAGTAGCTGGGACTACAGGCGCACGCCACCACACCCAGCTAATTTTTGTATTTTTAGTAGAGACAGGTTTCACCATGTTGGCCAGGCTGGTCTCGAACTCCTGGCCTCAAGTGATCCACCCGCCTCAGCCTCCCAAAGTGCTGGGATTAAAGGCATGAGCCACTGCGCCCAGCCTATTCATTTTAATACAAAGGCAACTAACAATGTTGCCACAAAACTGGATGGGAAAAGATACACTTAAAAAGTTTTTAATAACATGTGCATGCCAGTGTGTAAATCTATGAATATACAAGTAGCTCTGTCAGTGAGTAGCCAGTGTTGATGACTAATGAAAGCCTGTGCTACTAACTATGCAAGAAAGTTGTTCTCTTTACTCAAACTCAAAGCAGCAACTTGAAAATTTTAAGGAACTATAAATTTGTAAACTGAATTCATTGTTGTTTTTTTTTTTTTTGAGACAGAGTCTCGCTCTGTCCCTCAAGCTGGAGTGCAATGGGGCCATGACGGCTCACTTCAAGCTCCGCCTCCCGAGTTCACGCCATTCTCTTGTCGCAGTCTCCCGAGTAGCTGGGATTACAGGCGCCCGCCACCACGCCCAACTAATTTTTTGTATTTTTAGTAGAGATGGGGTTTCACCGTGTTAGCCAGGATGGTCTCGATCTCCTGACCTCGTGATCTGCCTATCTCGGCCTCCCAAAGTGCTGGGATTACAGGCGTGAGCCACCGCGCCCGGCCTCTGAATTCACTTTTTTAAATTTACCATTCCCATCCTTTGTCAGTCAATGACTAAAAACAGGATATTTTTCCTTTAAAGCAATCTAAATCGTATGGTAGGATTACATAAGAGTTTAAAGGGTTTTCTTTTTCTTTTTTTTCCAAAGGGTTTCTTTACCATAAAAACATAATGATCAAATAATAGTTGTCTTGGGGAAAATTATAAAATGGGTTATTAGTAACTCTTTAAATTCTTCCCCTTGAAAATTTAATATAGATGCATGCTTCCATCTTGTACCTTCAATTACCAGGTGTTGTTCATCCTGGATTTTCAAATATTCCAATCTATGATCCTCATCATCCAGAAGAGTAAGGTAGTTCTGTGTAAGGAGGAGGAAATGTTTTTGTTATTTGGTTAGTAAACTAGAAACAAATACAGAGATAAAAATGAGTAACAATTAAAAAAAATTATTTGTAGTTACATAACTTATATCACAAATATCTGGCCTACTATAGTTGTTCATAAATATTTATAATTTAAGTGGCAATATGAGAGAAAGACAATGTATACTTCATAAGCATTATCTTTCTCTTTTTAAAAATTTCAATAGGTTTTTGGGGAACAGGTGGTAGCTGGTTACATGAATACGTTTTTTTTTGTTTGTTTGTTCTTGTTTTTGTTTTTTTTGAGATAGAGTCTGGCTCTGTTGCCCAGGCTGGAGTGTAGTGGTGCTATCTAGGCTCACTGCAACCTCCACCTCTGGGTTCAAACAATTCTCCTGACTCAGCCTTCTGAGTAGCTGAGACTACAGGCGCACGCCATCAAGTCCAGCTAATTTTTGTATTTTTAGTAGAGACAGGGTTTCACCACCTTGTTGGCCAGGCTGGTCTCAAACTCCTGACCTCTGTTGATCCACCCATCTTGGCCTCCCAAAGTGCTGGCATTACAGGCGTGAGCCACACCATTAGTTTATAATATAACATACAATATTTGTAACATGTAAAACATGTAATCTTTATATGTAGCAATAATCTTTGTAAGATGGTAATGTCCATGGTGATCAATTGCTATTATGGATCTTAGAGACAAATATTACAAGTACACAGATAGTATCTTAAAAGATGAACTTTTCACTGATATCCTAGACATGGCTTTTAGCATAATTACTATAGGCAAAATCCCCATACTCATGAAACATGATTTAACATTTGATCATCCTTGTGCTCTTTGGCAACATATGTACTAAAATTGGAACAATACAAATAAGATTAGCAAATTTCTTTTACTATTTAAAATTTAAAAAATACCAACAATCAGGCTCTCCATGACTCTGAGATGCCTCTTACCTCACTGTTGTATAGCCACAGGCGCATATCTTCCTCTTTAATGCGCAGCCTTTGAGACAGATATTCGTGAATTTCCTTGATGGTCTGCATTCGACTAAAACAGCCTGTATAGGCTAATACCCGCTTTAAAGGTGCATTCGGAGAAGGTACATTTCCTGTGGTTACAGTAATCACAGTAAGAAAAAAGGCAGATGTGAAAAAAGAAGCACCCCTCTCACCAGTGGGGACCATACTATTTTAGGAAATGATGAGAAATGAGAACTACAGGTGTAATAATTTTATAAATGAAGAGTACCAAAAAGCTTTAAAATGCAGACAGAAGACCCAAGTTCTTTTTGTTTGTTTGTTTGTTTTTAATAGATGGAGTTTTGTTATGCTGCCCAGGCTAGAGTGCGGTGCTGTGATTTTGGCTCACTGCAGCCTCCACCTCCAGGGCTCAAGCAATCCTCCCACCTCAGCCTCCTGAGTAGCTGGTACTACAGGCATATGCCACCACATCTGGCTAATTTTTGTATATTTTTGGGTAGAGACAGGGTCTTGGCCATGTTGCCCTGGCTGGTCTCTAACTCCTGGGCTCAAGTGATCCACCTGCCTTGGCTTCCCAAAGTGCTGGGATTACAGACGTGAGCCACCAAGCCCAGCCTTCCAGGTGTTTTAAAGTCCAAAGTCTCAACTTTGAAAAGATGAGCAAAGGCCCAAGGCCCAAGGTCTAAATAACTGGCAATATTTGGATACCAAGAAGAGTAGGAACATGCCAGAAAACAATTGGCATTGATATCTGGCTGCACTCAGCTGAGTCACAGTCAATAGCAAAATGAAATAAAACTCAGTGGAAAAAAAAATTAAGACAGAGTTAAAAAAAAGAAAAAACTCAGTGGAAGAGAGAAAATGGGATGGGATTTGAATCTCACAGATAGATAATTGGATTCACCTGGTCCACTTTCCTAAACTTTCTTTGAATCACTAATCCCATCACTCTCAGTCATTAAGTAGCTCAATTATCTGGCACAGTGGTACACCTGCACCAGAAAACATAGGTGTATCTATTACATATCAATTTAAAAAAAAAAGAATTCAACTTAAAATTCTAAATAGGTATAGACTCTACATAGCCAAACAGAGTTTATTATTATTATTATTATCATTATTATCATTATTTGAGATAAGGTCTCATTCTGTTGCTCAGGCTGTAGTGCAGTGCAGCAATCATGGCTCTGTGCAGCCTCAACCTCCCTCATTCAAGTGATCCTCGCACCTTAGCTTCCTAAGTAGAGACAGGGTCTATGTTGCCCAGGGTGGTCTTGAACTCCAGGGCTCAGGGAATCATCCCACCTTGGCTTCCCAAAGTGCTGGGATATTACTGATATTACAAGTGTGTGAGCTACCACACTTGGCCAAAACAGAGTTTCAAAATGCAGCCAAGAAGTTTTCCATGGCCAAATAAGTAAATGCCCTATAAGGAAAAAAAAATCATATTAGCCTGTCCACCCAGTAAGATGATGACAGACATGACCTTGAATTCCTGAAGGGCTAAAGGTAGAAATAAGAAGAGTGGTAATACAGGGGAAAAGAATAAAGAGTGAAGAAAGAATATATCAGGTCTCACTACATACTTCAAAAGAGGAGAGGTATGAAATGACAAGAGATTACGGAAATCAAAGAGAGGCGGCAAAAAAAAAAAAAGCTCATCAAACCCTGGTTAACTATTTAGCCAAAAATCTAGACAAAAGCTGTGGCTTAAAACAGTCATCTCTGCCGAGGCTGTATTTTATCAAGCAACCCAACTTAAAAATATAAACTTATCAATATAATGTACATTCCAAATAATTTTCCACCCATTCAACCATGAGTTAGATTTTTTTTCTTCCTGAAACATGTTTTTAGTCAGTCTTCCTCACTAAATAAAGCTGAGAAAAATGTGGGCATCATCTACATTTTTAGAACCTCAGAAAAGGAATTCCCTCACCTAAGGTAGGCTAAAAAGTCATCTAAAAACAACGCCTTCTATGGCCTTGTCTGTAGAAAAGGCTACATTTAAGTCATTGTAACTGTAACAAGGTTTGAATACTTGTCACTTCAAAAGGAATAAAAGAGCCTAGTAAACAACTGTAACAAATTGAGTATTTGAGAAAGATGAACATTATGTTACGGCAGAACAAAATCCGTGATCAGTTTTTAAACACATAGCAAGCAAATCTTTTACAATTAACAAGCAAAGGATAATCTCTAAAAGAAAACAAAAGAGCAAATTTCTCCAATTATACATTTTAGGATTAGTTATAAGAGTACAGCAAGAAAGCATATTTTTATAAAATTTAAAATGATTAATGATTGATTTCACAACTAATTAGCAAGGAATAAAATTTCAAACTAAAAACAAATTTGGAGCATCTGAAATACGCAGTTCTAGGATTCAAGAGCATATAGTTTATAGTGTTCAGGTCAATCTCTATTGTCCTAAGCCACAATACAAAAATTTGAGTTTTAGAAAGTTTTTATAGCATAGCTCATTAAGCAGGCAGCCACTTATTATACATAATGTTGTGCTTTTGAATAGCACCAACAAATCTAGCAGAATTTATAGAAGCAGCAAAAATCTAGGATCAGCACAAGAGTTACAAAGAATATCTACTAAAAGCACAGCAACACATCTTGCCTCTCATGTTATCTTTCTTTTATTTTTTTGTTTGAGACAGTCTCACTCTGTTGCCCAGGCTGGAGTGCTGTGGTGCGATCTCGGCTCACTGCAACCTCTGCCTCCTGGGTTCAAGAAGTTCTCATGCCTCACCCTCACGAGTAGCTGGGATTACAGGCACCTGCCCACCACACCCGGCTAATTTTTGTATTTTTGGTAAAGATGGGGTTTCGCCATGTTGACCAGGTTGGTCTCAAACTCCTGACCTCTGGTGATTCACCAGCCTCGGCCTCCCAAAGTGCTGGGATTACAGGCATGAGCCACTGCACCTGGCCTCATGTTATCTTTCAAAGAGAACTGAAAAAGTTGTAATGGGTGCCATGGAAGCAAGGCTAATATTTCTAACGGAAAATTAAATCAAGAATGTTTCATAAAGGTTCTATCTCACTGTTCCTTTTTTAAAATATGGTTTCCTTCTTTTTGTCTTTATTTTTTTTAGAGACAAGCTCTTGCTCTGTTGCCCAGGCTGGAGTATGGTGGCATAATCATAGCTCACCACAGCCTTGAACTCTTGGGCTTAAGAGATCTTCCCACTTTAGCCTCTTGAGTAGCTGAGACTACAGGGCACACCATTATGCTCAGCTAATTAAAAAATTTTTTTGTAGAGACAGGATCTTACTATGTTGCCCAGGCTGGTCTCAAACTCCTGGCTTCAAATGATCCTCCTCCCCAGCCTCCCAATCTGTTGGGATTACAGACATCGGCCACCATGCCCAGCCTCACTGTTCTTTGATTTTGCTGTTTTCCCCAAAGACAAAGTTTGGTAGGCAGAGGCCAATGCTTTGCTATAATTATTACCAAACATTTTTGAAAGAATTCTTACCAAACAGGCTGAGGTGGGCGGATCATGAGTTCAGGAGATTGAGACCATCCTGGCTAACACAGCGAAACCCCATCTCTACTAAAAATACAAAAAATTAGCCGGGCGTGGTGGCGGGTGCCTGTAGTCCCAGCTACTCAAGAGGCTGAGGCAAGAGAATGGCGGAGCTTGCAGTGAGCTGAAATCGTGCCACTGCCTTCCAGCCTAGGCGAAAGAGCAAGACTCCGTCTCAAAAAAAAAAAAGAATCTTTATATATTATATTAATATAACTTTTAATGAAGATACAAAACTAACCCTGTTCAATTTCAAAGGAGACAGAGTACTTATTTTGGTTGGGGTTTAGAGGTAGTTCTTGCATACTAAGTTATTTTAATTATTATAACATGCTGGTATTGTTAACATAGTCTGATAATTTGTGTAAATGGTTGCTCCTTATAATTATTATTTGAGACAGAGTCTCACTCCGTCACCTAGGCTACAGTGCAGTGGTGTGATCTTGGCTCACTGTAACCTCCACCTCCTGGGTTCAAGCGATTCTCTTGCCCCAGCCTCCCAAGTAGCTGAAATTACAGCACCACCACACCCAGCTAATTTTTGTATTTTTAGTAGAGACAGGGTTCATGTTGGCCAGGCTGGTCTTGAACTCCTGACCTCAAGTAATCTGCCCACCTCGGCCTCCCGAAGTGTGGGATTACAGGCATAAGCCACTGAGCCCAGCTTATTATTTCTTTACTGCTGAAGAATAATTTCAAATATTTGCAAAGCAAAAGCACAGAGCAAAGTCTTGCCCATCAATAAAGTTTAACCTTATAGAGAAATGAAAGGGCAACTTTTTACATGTTATACATTAAAAAGGGAACTAATTTATATGTCATTTTGATAGGCTTCATGTTTTTTCAAAGCAAATATATCACTTTAATTTTCAAAAATATCCCTTTTGCTCTGTACTGTCTCTCTCTTATATAAAGCCTCTTTAGATCAAGCATGAGAAATGTATCATGTTTTGCCAAAAAACCAAACAACAACAAAAACCTTAAAAAACAAAAATGATAGTATAAAAGGCATTACATTTTACAAATTTGAGTGGAGTTGAAAAGACCAGTCAATGACTGGTAGACTACTACTTAGTCTAGTAACAATTTACAATGGCTTATCTCAAAGAAATAAAGCACGTAAAATATATTTCTATTTATTTTCTTTGTAAGTAGAAAAGGAAACATCCTATCTCAGTTTGCTGTTGGGATTTTTGCTTCGACCCCTCATCTAGTCTTGCGCATGACCGTAGATCTAAGACCCGTAAAAATTAATTACTGAAATCTGTAGGAAAGCTGATGGGAATGTGTATCAATACAGTGGCACCAGACTTCGAGCAACATAGTTTTCTCCTTTTTTTTTTTTTTTCAGGAAATGCATGGTATTCTTGCTGCATTCTTAAGTTACCTCTCGGGAAATGCTGAGGAAACATTCTCAGGCTCATCATACCCATATTCACCCAGATGTTAGACTGCTGTGTCCGAGTGGCAGGCTGCTGTCTCAGGAAGAGAAGATAGCGGGGAAATAACTCCAGCTCTGGGATGTCTGTCTTGCTGTTCTTGATCACCTATTGTTTTAAAAGATAAAAAGAGACCACTAAAAAAAGAAACAAAACTTGCCATTTTAATCTAACTTATGAGATTTATTTCTAAACCAAATGTCCAACAAGTTCACTAGCTACATTTCAGTAATTACCGAAACTCACACATTTAAGTTATACGAATCTGAATACTGTTAAATTCCTGCTCTGAAACCCATTTCCTAAGATTATAACTCCTTGTAGATATCTTCTCCCCTTTTATTTAAAAGCAAGTAACAACACTGAGGAAAAAAAACTCCTTTAAGTATTATCTATAATTCTACTACCCTCACACCATAAGCCTTTTCATTTTAACATGTTTCATGTATATAAATGACTGACATTTTAAGGACAAATTAATAAAAATTGAGTTAAAAGTCAAAAACTATGGAAGTATTCATTAGCTATATAGTCATGCTGCCATCTAAAGTTTAGCAATTTACACTATTGCCAGTAATGTATGAGTATACTACTCTCATAAAACCTTATCACTGGACATCATTTAAAAACATCCACATTTTGTTAATATGAAGAGTATTATAAATTGCTTAAAATTTTATTTTTTGTATTAGTAGTGAGGACACAACTGTTCCCACATAAAAATTTACTATGTTCTACTTGTGTAACCAGTCTGTTCATATATGTTTTGTCTATGACTTAAACAAAACATTCGGATGTAAAAAACTCAGATTTCACATGGTTGGAACAGGGTTTTTAAGTAGTTTTAACCTGCTTACAAGCCCACAGACACAGGAAAACATTTAATTATCAAAATATTGTTGTAAGAGTAGTACATTATCAATTTCATATTCTAAAAGGATAGCAGGGTTAACACTGAAACTCTTTAAAACAGAAACTCTTACGGAGTCTTTTAAGTCTCAGGTGACCAGGTTTTATTTTCCTTTACTCTCGTAACCAGTATCTTCTGCAACAGAACTTTTTTTTTTAGTATCAAGAGGAAGCAATAAAGAATCAAATAAAAACAACACTACAGGCCAGGTGCAGTGGTTCATGCCTGTAATACCAGTACTTTGGGAGGCCAAGGCAGAAGGACTGCTTGAGACCAGGAGTTCCAGACCAGCCTGGGCAATACAACAAGATTCTGTCTGTTAAAAAATTTAAAAATTAGCTGTTATGGTGGTGTGTGCCTGTAGTCTTAGCTACTGGGGAGGGTGAGGTGGGATGATTGTTCCAACCCTGCAGCTTCAGGTTATTTTTCATAAACGTAATTATTAGGAACTCAAAATCAACATCAAAATTACATTAGTCTGTTTTATAACAGATTTTTACTCTTTTTAGAAGTTAAGGTACCATATCTCATCTATACAAAACCTTCCTGGCATAAGGAAGTTTTAACTTGGACATTATAAAGGGAAGAGTGTTTCTTTTTTTTTTTTTTTTTTGAGATGGAGTCCCACTCTGTCACCCAGGCAGGAGTGCAATGGTGCAGTCTTGGCTCACTATAACCTCTGCCTCCTGGGTTCAAACGATTCTCCTGCCTCAGCCTAACGAGTAGCTGGGAGTGCAGGCACGTGCCACCACACCAGCTAATTTTTGTATTTTTATTAGAGACGGGGTTTCACTATGTTGGCCAGGCTAGTCTCGACCCCCTGACCTCGTGATCCGCCCACCTTGGCCTCCCAAAGTGCTGGGATTACAGGCAGAAGAGTGTTTCTTAATACACCAAAAAATCCCCACCAAAACGTCTTGTTATATTTTACTGCATCAACAATGTAAAAAGTGAGTGTACAGAGTACCAAGTGCTGTTTACTGTGTAAGCACAACAAATGGTGCTATATACTAATATTTTAATATAATATTCTGTTATCCTATGTTGTGATCTTTTATATGCCCCTCTTTCAAAAACATAAACCACAAAAATCCACCAAAAGCTACAAGAAGAATCCAGTCCCTAACTAGATACCTGTGTGACTGTTGGGAATAGTAGTTTCAGAAATAACCGCTGTACCACACCCTACATTCACTGAACTTTTTGGCACTGGCTCTTGGCCTGTCTTTCCCTCCAGCCTAAGTTCCGCATATCTTAGGTGACGTCTACTTTTATGTGGATAACACATTCAACAGCCTCCTATTTCCTTGCCTTTATTTATGAATGAATGAATGAATGAATGTGAAGGAACCTAACATTGTTCAGTTAATCCAAACAGGTTCAGAACACTCTTCTACCACAAGGTAAGAGCTAGTTTGTGGTGAGAGTCACGTAGAAAAAGTAACAGAAGACCCCCAACTATGACTGCTCCTTATACAAGGCACTATTAGCTATACTTACTGGTCTAGGTAGGGCCAGGTTTGCTCCATACCAATGATAAAGCGCTCTCCACACAGGTTCTGGGACCATTTCATAATCTCTTCCATGAATCAGCTGTGGAGTTCGTTTTAATCGTCCTCCTTCTAGTGTTAATGATGTAGCCTGAGAAAGAATAGAATGACAATGTTGACTTTCAATATTACAAAGGTTTTTGGGTCTCAGCAATACCTAGATATAGGAAAACAAACTCTCATATCACCACTGAGTTTCATGTTGCTGGACAAACTTAATTTTTTTTTTTTTTTTTTTGGAGATGGAGTCTTGTTCTGTCGCCCAGGCTGGAGTGCAGTGGCACGATCTTGGCTCGCTGCAGCCTCCGCCTCTGGGGTTCCATCGATTATCTTGCCTCAGCCTCCTGAGTAGCTGGGATTACAGGCACACGTCACCATACCCGGCTAATTTTTGCATTTTTAGTAGAGACAGGGTATCACCATGTTGGCCAGGCTGGTCTCGAACTCTTAACCTCAGGTGATCTGCCCACCTCGGCCTCCCAAAGTGCTAGGATTACAGGCATGAGCCACCGCACCCAGTCAAAAAACTGAATTTTTAATAAGAGATTTTTATTTTTGACTTTCAAAATAAACTATGGAAGAAATGAAACTCAAAGCATATCACTTGGAAAAATCACCAAAGTACTTGAAATAACTTCACAGATTTCTTTCAAACAATAAAAAATACTAGTTTGGAAAAAAAAAAAAAACTCATAGTGTATGTGAAACAACACTTTCAGAATAGCTGTCCTAAGTAAGAATAACAATATTACCAAGGGTCACTAAACTACTTCTATATAAGTTCCAAATCATAAATATTCTCACAGAAATGTACTATACAAAGAGATTTCCATCTATAATAGAGTAATTAAATGAACCTCCAATGTTTTGCTATGTGCTAAAACCTCTGAAATGAAATTTATTAATAGCTTGCAAGAGAATAATTTTAAGTTTAGATGTAAAATTACTTACCTTTACTGGTTCTTGAGTTACTAACGGCTGATTATCAATAGCCCCTGGTTTCTGAGGGTTAAGGTGCAACAAAATATTCCCATTGGCTCCCAGCAAACACTGGTTGTTATTGTCAGAAGTGTTATGTTGTCGAGCAAAGCAAACATCTGCCCCTGGTGTGGCAGAATACAGAAAGCCTATGAAAAAAAAGAGGATGGAATCTCTTATTTTTAGTTATTATACATAAACAGGCTTGAGGACATGAACTCAATGCCCATGTATTGTATTACTCTGTTGACATGTCCGTACAGATTCAGATTCTGGTAGTTCTGTAGAAGACAGGAAATGTTATCCTTCTCTGAACAATACATAGCATGGTACTAAAAATAAGAGCTTTTAAAATTATTAGAATATCTAATAATTCATAACGAGAATTATATGTCCTCCGATTGGAAGGGAAGACCTGGCTAAGTAGCTGGGCTTTCATATAGCATCCTTTAATTATTTTCCTAAAACTAGAAAAATATTCCAAATGTTCTCGGTAGATAATGGTGATATGAAGTCACTAAATTAAAAAGAACTAAAACAAGAATTCCAACAAAAGAGTACTGGGAGCTAGATCCTATTTTATCTATGAACTCAATGTTCACGAATTCTTTTGAAAGAAACACATTACCTTTACAATAGGAAAATATGCACAGAAAATGATTAACCATGGTTTAGAGCTGTGAACCTCAGTGTGAATAGATCCTATTTTATCTATGAACTCAATGTTCACGAGCTCTTTTGAAAGAAACACATTATCTTTACAATAGGAAAATATGCACAGAAAATGATTAACCATGGCTTAGAGTTGTGAACCTCAGTGGTATTTTAAGGCATTTCAACTGTCAACTACATGCTAATCTTTGGTAAACATTCTAGCAGTCATTACTTTGTAACCTTCTGCCTGTGATATGCAGCCTTTGGGTGTCACAGGTTATATGGTAAGCACATACCAAACAAGATCTTTAGATGGGGTTAAGAAATAATCCTGGTGTTAAAGCTGATGACAGCACTTCTAGGACTGCTAAGGGATCTTTATAATATCAGAAAGGGAGGGAAGAAGCAGATTCTACAAGGAGCTTTGTAAAGAAAATGCTAGCTCTGTCCAATCTGCTTACACCTTCCACAGAAAAGGAAAATATCTTGGAAGAAATAATAACACAGGGCCATGCGTGGTGGCTCATGCCTGTAATCCCAGAACTTTGGGAGGCCAAGGTGGGCAGATTACGAGGTCAGGAGATCGAGACCATCCTGGCTAACACGGCGAAACCCCGTCTCTACTAAAAGTACAAAAAATTAGCCAGGTGTGGTGGTGGGCCCCTGTAGTCCCAGCTACTCGGGAGGCTGAGGCAGGAGAATGGCGTGAACCCGAGAGGTGGAGCTTGCAGTGAGCAGAGATCACGCCACTGCACTCCAGCCTGGGCGACAGAGCGAGACTCCGTCTCAACAACAACAACAAAAAGAAATAATAACACAGGCTAGGTGCAGTGGCTTATGCCTGCAATCTCAGCATTTTGGGAGGCCAAGGCTGGAGGACTGCTTGAAGCCAGAAGATTGCAACCAGCACAGGAAACATGAGACCTCATCTCTACAAAACAATTAAAAAATTAGCTGTGTGTGGCAGTGTACACCTGCAGTCCTAGCTACTAGGTAGGCTGAGACAGGAGGATCGTTCAAGCCCAGGAACTGGAGGTCACAGTGAGCTATGATCGTGGCATTGCACTACAGCCTGGGCAACAGAGTGACACCCTGTCTCTTTAAGTACACAAATAAATAATAGGGTAAGACTGAGGGTTCTGCTACTGTACCAGAATACTAGCAATCAACTCAATTGGGCTGGGCCACAGAAATACCATAGCATCTTCCCTGTAGATATGGAAACATGAAGTTTTAGGTAAGTACCAAGACCTAAAGGGAATTATGGGAGGCATCTGAATTCTTTCTCAGTATTTTAACAAAATAATCTCCATATTTTGGCCTGAAATATAGATAGAATCTGCTATGGGGTGCATTTAATTTAATTAAAGTATGTTTATAGCTAGAGAGAGTCCTGGAGATGACTATCTTTGAAAATTTAAATTTACTGACTAAATAAATTTAATAGCAATATGGAAAGATGGGGCTTGATTGATGAAAATAATGAAAATAGCCAGGTGTGATGGCTCATGCCTGTAATCTCAGCACTTTGAAAGGCTGAGGCCGAAGGATCGCTTGAGCCTGGGAGTTTGAGACCAGCCTGGGCAACATGGCAAAACCCTATCTCTAAAATTAAAACCCCAAAAAATAGCTGGGCATGGTGGCACGTGCCTGTAGTCCCAGCTTCTTAGAAGGCTGAGGTGGGAGAACTGCTTGAGGCCAGGAGGCAGAGGCTGCAGTAAGCTGTGATTTTGCCACTGTACTCCAGCCTGGGTGACAGAGCAAGACCCTATCTCAAAAGAAAATAATGAAAGTATTTCCATATTGAGATATTTAATGAAGTATAACATGGAAAAGAGGTTTTCTTTGTAAAAATACTAATATATTCAAGAATTTTACAATTGACCATTTCATTTAAAACTTATTTCCGTTAATGGAAGCCTGATCTCCTATTACCCTATTCACTACAGCCTCTGTCAAATTAGACTCCCTTAATAACTATCCATGGGGAGGCCGGGCAGGGTGGCTCACACCTGTAATCCGAGCACTTTGGGAGGCTGAGGTGGGCAGATCATGAGGTCGGGAGTTCAAGACCAGGCCTGGCCAACCTATGGTGAAACCCCATCTCTACTAAAAAAAAAAAAACAAAAAAATTAGCCGGCATGATGGTGGGCACCTGTAAATCCCAGCTACTCAGGAGCTGAGGCAGGAGAACCGCTTGAACCCAGAAGGTGGAGGTTTCGGTGAGCGAGATCATGCACTGCGCTCCAGCCTGGGTGAAAGAGTGAAACCTCTGTCTCAAAAAAACAAAAAAAAAAAAAAAAAAAAAAAAAAGACTAATCCATGGGGAATAAACCAAAAACCTCAAGGGAGATATAGGTCATATTACCGCTGCCAGCAGTTTCTGAGCTTCAGATGCAGTAGAAATGTTGTCTGAAAAATTTCCTCTTCTGTAGTATTAAACAATAATGAGGCCTGCTCCAAATTCTAATCTCGACCTGCTCCATAGGATGGACTGCAGTTCCAAATGAGTATTTTTCCTCCATTCAAAAACAGATGATGGCTCCATTACACACAGGGTGGCCATCCTAAAATCAGGAACCAGAGAATAAGAAGCAAAGTTTAATAATCTGACAACTACGAGTCCCCTTAGAAAACGAATCTCACAATTACCTACTTTTCTGAAGTCCTCCTATGTGGGGGCCACAAACATTTAAAAACATTCGAGATACATAGCTAAAATTTAATCTCTTTACGGAGGAAAAGTATGTGTATAGATAAAACGGCAAGGTAGAACAAAACAGACTGTGAAGGACTTTTGTGCACATAAAGTAATTAAACTCTAATTCTAGTTGGAAGCCTTTTTTAACATTAAAAGAAATTAAAGTTTTAACATTTTTTTCTTCTTTCCTCTCTATAGACATGAATGTATATAATTTTTATTATAAAGATTATATGGTCAATGTAGAAAATATAGAATACATGAAGAAAACAAATATCACATGTACTCAGATTCCATCATTTAGCAATAACTATGTTGGTTTTAGTTCTTGTGACTGAAAAAAATATATATGTGTAAAAGATGAGTGGTGTGATGTACATACAGTGAAAGGCATTGCTATGTATGACTTATAGCTATGTGACTTTCTAACAATAACTAAACACACCTTTAATTGCAGCACTTTGGGAGTCCAAGGCAGACAGATCACTTACGGCCAGGAGTTCAAGACCAGCCTGACCAACATGGTGAAACCCCATCTCTACTAAAAAATACAAAAATTAGCTGGGTGTGGTGGAGGGGCTCCCTGTAATCCCAGCTACTCGGGAGGCTGAAGGCCAAGAGAATCGCTTGGAACCCTGGGAAGGCGGAGTTGCAGTGAGCTGAGATCATGCCACTGTACTCCAGCCTAGGCAACAGAGTAGACTCTATCGTCAAAAAAAAAAAAAAAAAAATCATATTTTTCTGCTTTCACCAAACATTGTATTGTTTATATGGTGCTAATATGCTAATCTAACATTTGATATTTTCTCTATTTCTGTTTTTAACAAAGAGAAGAGTCCTAAATAGCAGTCTTCAAAAGACAATACTATTAGCTGGAATTTAATAATATTATTGCCTTCTATTTCTGGCAAGTGACACTAGTTTCCTTTTCTTTTTTTTTTTTTTGAGACAGAGTCTCACTGTATCACCCAGGCTAGAATGCAGTGGCACGATCTCGGGTCACTGCAACCTCCACCTCCCAGGTTCAAGCAATTCTCCTGCCTCAGCCTCCCGAGTAACTGGAATTACAGGTGCGTGCCACCATGCCCGGAGAATTTTTGTATTTTTAGTAGAAACACGGTTTCACCATACCGGCCAGGCTAGTCTTGAATTCCTGACCTTAGGTTATCTGCCTGCCTGGGCCTCCCAAAGTGCTGGGATTACAGGCGTGAGACACCATGCCCAATAACTTTTTTTTTTTTTGAGACAGGGTCTCACTATGTTGGCCAGGTTAGTCTTGAACTCCTGGCCTCAAGCAATACTCCTGCCTGGGCCTCCCAAAGTGCTGGGATTACAGGCGTGAGACACCATGCCCAATAACTTTTTTTTTTTTTGAGACAGGGTCTCACTATGTTGGCCAGGTTAGTCTTGAACTCCTGGCCTCAAGCAATACTCCTGCCTGGGCCTCCCAAAGGGCTAGGATTACAGGCGTAGCCACTGTGCCCAGCGGACACGAGTTTTCTAACTTAAAGTAGTAAGACAAAGTTTCCTTTGAAAATATGATTAAACAACTAATTAATCACAACCAGTTACAAATTTCTATGTTCCTTGTCCATTACCACTGCTTCACTTGAGTAGCCAAAATTTTTTTAAAATTTTAAGTAAAAATGGCAAAATTATTTATGTAAGTTAATTGTATGGCATTATATGAGAAAAATGGTGACCATAGTTAAAAAAATGATTAATAACTAGGAATCTATATATCTATATTACATATGCATTTTGGACCATCAATTTTTTTTAGATGATTCACCAAAGTAGTCAAAATTCTTTTTTTTTTCTTTTTTGTTTTTGTTTTTTTTGAGACAGAGTCAAGCTCTGTTGCCCAGGCTGGAGTTCAGTGGTGCGGTCCCGGCTCACAGCAACCTTTGCCTCTAGCTTCAAATGATTCTCCTGCCTCAGCCTCCTGAGTAGCTGGAACTACAGGTGCCTGCCACCACACCCGGCTAATTGATGTATTTTTAGTAGAGATGGGGTTTCACCATACAGGCCTCGAACTCCTGAACTCAAGCAATCCACTTGCCTCGGCCTCCCAGAGTGCTGGGATTACAGGCGTGAGCCACTGTGCCCAGCCTAGAAATCAAAACCCTGTGGACAAGACAGTAGAACCAAACTGATCTATGTCAAAAAAGAAGTATAAATTAGTCCTAAGTGTTAATTTTCTTAAAGATAATACCAAGCTTCTCACTTTTCTAGTAATATGGAACCCATACCAACACAAAATACAATACATTTAAATTAGGTTTCTTTTTTTTTTTTTTTAATTGAAACAATTTTTGGCCTGGGATGATGGCTCACGTCTGTAATCCCTGTACTTTGGGAGCCAAGGTGGGTGGATCACTTGAGCTCAGGAGTTGGAGACCAGCCTGGACAACATGGCTAGACCCCTTCTCTACAAAAAATACAAAAAAAATAGTGGGGCATGGTGGCACACACCTTTAGTCCCCAGTAACCTGAGAGGCTGAGGTGGGAGGATAGCCTCAACCCAGGAGGTAGAGGTTGAACTGAGCTGAGATCACGCCACTGCACTCCAGTCACAGCAACAGAGCGAAACTCTTCCATTTTTTTTTTTTGTAGAAATGGAGTCTTACTATATTGCCCAGGTAGGTCTCAAACTCTAGCCTCAGGTAATCCTCCTGCCTCAGTCACCCAAAGTGCTGGGATTACAGGTGTGAGCCACCTCACCTGGTTAAATTAGGTTTCAAAAGAAAGTTTTCCATAAACACACATGCCTTATTATTTAAATCAGTTCAACTTTTTTTTCACTTACACTTTTTGGTTTATTTGGTTTGGAGTATAGCAAAGGCTCTTTTTTTCTTAGACAGGGTCTTGCTCGGTCGCCCATAGTTCACTATACCCTCAGCCTCCTGAGCTCAAGTGATCCTTCCACCTCAGCTAGGACCACACACATGCTTCACCATGCCCAACTAATTTTTAAAGTTTTCATAGAGATGGGGTCTCAATATGTTACTCAGACTGGTCTCAAACTCCTGGAAGACTGAAACAATCCTCCTGCCTTGGCCTCCCAAAGTGCTAGGATTATAGGCATGAGTCACCTGGCCAAAGGCATTTTTTCATTTTTGAAGTTCTGTATGTGATCTCACTACATATGCAGCCAGAATTAATAACTATTGCCCTAGTGAGGATTATAGTCTCATGCATTTGTTTTTATAATGTGCTCCAGATGCTGAGAGCTTAGAAACTGACTTGTTATTAAATCGGCTACTTGCTCTGGAACTTGTGTTTTAGAAGAAGATTTAGATTTTAATTAGTTTTCAGGTCATTTGCTTCTTGCCCATAAAGATGGAGCAAGACAGATAGTAAAACCATTTTGAAAGAGTAACAGCGCCACCTTTGACAAAAATTAAAAGTCTTCCAAGTCACTTTGTTTTCCTCCAGAAAAATCACTTTAGTCTTGCTATAAATGATCTTAAATGATGTTTCAATAACCATCAAACTGTTGGCAGGTAATCTCTTTATAAATTTATACTCACTTCTTTATTCCATTTATATAAAGTTGATGCATTACAAATTACTTTTTTTTTCCCCTTCTTTTTTTGAGACGGAGTCTTGCTTTGTCACCCAGGCTGGAGTGCAGTGGTGCAATGTTGGGTCATCGCAACCTCCACCTCCTGGGTTCAAGCGATTCTCCTGCCTCAGCCTCCCAAGTAGCTGGGATTACAGGCACGCATCACTGCACCTGGCTAATTTTTGTATTTTCAGTGGTTTGTATTTTCAGTGGTTTTGTATTTCAGGGTTTCGCCATGTTGGCCAGGCTGGTCTTGAACCCCTGACGTCAGGTGATCCACCCGCCTTGGCCTCCCAAAGTGCTGGGATTACAGGCGTGAGTCACCACACCCGACCACAAATTACTTTCTAAAAAATCTGTAGTAATATATTTTGAGGAAGATTAGGTCTATTTGAGCAAACAATTTTCTTCAAGTTTTCCTTTAAGATGGGCATTTAAGAGAATTTCAAGGAGTAATATTTGGAATTGCATCTTAAATGTTTTAACATATTTGAAAATTTTACATGGTGTCTATGTTTCTAAAGAAAATGTAAATGAAACCATTCCTGTAATAATGTTTCTCATTCTGAAGAGCTCAGTTCATAGGTTAAATCTATACATATCACTGGCAAGAAAACAGGATAATAAAAATATTAACAGGTATTAAAATTGTTAGGTTAAATTTTATAATAATTTGTGAACAGGATGATTGTAATAACTTCTCAAGAGACTGCAACATATGCCTCTAGCAACTGCGGTTGTACCACATGCTTTTAACATGGTACAGTAAGTAATACCCTTTAGATTTGGAGAACATGGGCTTTTCTTTGCTTCTCTTCCAATGTTCCAAACAAATTAGAGTGGTCTGTCTTCTCATTGTCTTTGGCTTTCTTTTCTATTACAGGAATCTTATGCTCTCATTGTTCTCCACTGCCTGAAACTGTCAGCACTACTCAGGTTCCTTCTTCCGCTTCCCACATGCTTATTTTTCTTGTTCCTTCCACCCTTCTTGACTTTCAGTGAAATAGCTAACCCTTTCATCCAATTAATCTCATTATCACTTTCCTTCTACAAGATGAACAAACGAATCACAGTTATATATTGCAGAATCTTAGAGTCATTAGCTTTTTTTGACTGTTCATTTCTGGCTGCTTGTGGAAATTTTTGTTTTTCTAAAACATCAAAGGATAATGTTTTGTTTTTATTGACTTCAGAGGTCTGGAACTATTCAAAATTATCCTAGAATCCTGGTTTTCAGAAGATAGATTTCTAAATAGGTAAAGTTTCACCTGTAGAGAGAAATTTCCTCACTTTCTCTGAGTCAACAATTCACAAAAGGACAAGGTACTTATTTTAATATAAGAGAATTCTATTTTGAGATTTTAGGATTCCCTGTGTGTTGTATGAATATGTGTTCTAAAATATGGGTCAAGATTCACCTTTTTCTCCATTGATGATACTACTACTTTTTATGCCCCGTACATATGTATGTTACAAGCATCAATGATCTTAAATAATTAACAGTTACATCAATTTCATATGTCACTAGTCTGAAATGCTGCTTTTGGAAAAATAGAGGGCAGCATGGAGCAACAGATTAGGTACTACGGCAGGACTCAGGAAACTGCTTTAGAGTGCTAGATCAGGTAATAAAATAATTGTCTGATACAGCTTTGGGCAATTATAAAACCTAAGGACCTCAGAAGCTTCGTTTGGAAATTCAGAGAAGAGAGGTGTTGCATTCCTTTTATTTCCTCCTCAACTACACATGTCTGAGGCAGGAAAACAAGGCTGCTCCACTCATGGCAGTCCTGACGACGATCCTCGAGGGCTGCTCTTGGCCTCCAGCCTTGGCTGAGGAGAACAGGGACCCCCCCACAGCCCATGGGAGAGAGGCGCGAAAGGTGCTTTAAAATACTTTTTAGCTCTAAAGTTACATTATAACTAAATAGGAAAATCTGTATGTGAATAGTAATAGCTGCTCCTTCGTAGTTCTCAAAAAGGAAGAAACACACACATTATGTACTACAATGATGATAAACAGAAAAGATTCCACCATTCTTCCCCATTTAAATTTTTATAGGAGATTGCACATAGAAGAATAAAGCTTGACACATTAAAGTGGGAAAAGATTGGTAAGATTCCACGAGCAGAGACACAAATTATTCATGCTCCAGTGAATCAGCAAATCTGGGGTTAGCCACTTCTAAGAAAGGATGGCTCATTTTTCCTGATCCCTTGGTCTCTGATCTTTCCATTTAGTCTTGGCAGTATTTGAAACATACTGCCCTCACAATTAGTAATTCACATAAGTAAATGTTATTTTATGAAGAGAAAAAACTAACTAAAGCTAAGTACTACCTTAGGTAGGCAGATGAAGCTCTGAGTAAGATCAAATTATCTGACATGTCAACACTAATTTTCTTTTCTTTTTTTTTTGAGATGAAGTCTCACTCTATCATCCAGGATGGAGTGCAGTGGCATGATCTCGGCTCACTGCTGCCTCCTGGGTTCAAGAGATTCTCCTGCTTCAGCCTCCCAAGTAGCTGGAACTACAGGCGCACGCTACCACGCCCAGCTAATTTTGCTATTTTTAGTAGAGTTGGGGTTTCACCATGTTGGCCAGGCTGGTCTGGAACTCCTAGTCTCAAGTGATTTGCCTGCCTCAGCCTCCCAAAGAGCTGGGATTGCAGGTGTGAGCCACTGCACCTGGCCCAAATTTTTTTTTTTTTTTTTTAAACAAGGCATTTGTCAAAGCTGCCACGTGGACTGGAAAGAGAAATTTGAAGTTTTTTTTTTTTTTTTTTTTTAAATACAGAGTCTCATTCTGTTGCCCAGGCTGGAATGCAGTGGCATGACATTGGTTCTCTGCAACCTCCGCCTACCAGGTTCAAGCGATTCTTGTGCCTCAGTCTCCTGAGTAGCTGGGATTACAGGCATACACTACTACACCCAGCTAATTTTTGTATTTTTAGTAGAGATGGGGTTTCTCCAGGTTGGTCAGGTTGGTGTTGAACTCCCAGCCTCAAGTGATCTGCCTGTCTTGGCGTCCCAAAGTGCTGGGATAACAGGCATGAGCCACCATGCCTGGCCTGAAAGGAGAAATTTAAATCCTTATATAACTACTGCTACTACTATCACCATTATTACCTTTAACCTTACATAGAGTTTCTATCTGCCAGGCACTGGGCTAAGTGCTTCACATGTATTAACACATTTAATTCTCACATCCCTATTTAAATAGATATTACTATTAATCTCATTGTTTATATGTGAAACCTGAGGTACAGCAAGAAGTAGCAATTTATTCAAGGTCATAAAGCAAGTGGAAGGGACAAGAGTCCAAGCTCACTACGATTACGTTTTTCAAGTTTCTCATAATAATAGCTACCTATTTAGTACTTACTATGTACCAGACACTATTTTAAAATACTTACAGGAGTCTGGGTGCCTGTAATCCTAGCACTTTGAGAGGCCAAGGCAGGAGGATTACTTGAGCCCAGGAGTTCGAGATTAGCCTGGCAAGCATAGTGAGACCCCATCTCTACAGAAAATCAAAAAATTAGCCAGGTGTGGTAGTGCATGCCTGGAGTCTCAGCTACTCAGAGGTGGGATAACTGCCTGAGCCCAGGAGGTCAAGGCTGTAGTGAGCTATGACTGTGCCACTACACTCCAGCCTGGGCAACAAAGGAAGATCCTGCCTCAACAAACAAACATACAAACAAACAACAAAAACAACAAAACACTTAACATGCATCAAACTCATTTAATCCTTTTAACACCATGAGGGAGATTATTATTATTACTCTTATTTTACAAACGGAGGAAACAAAGCCCAGAATGTCACTTTGTTAAAAAGGTTACTTGAATTCACTTTAAAAACATTTTAAAAAAATCTGTCAGTGTGCAGTTATTTGCATTTAAAAGGTTATTTTTAGAAAAGAACACTTTTCTAATTAAAACATGTTCAGAGGATTATTAGTCAACTTACATTTCCCCCACCTTATTAATAAGTTGCCATAATTCTCTATTTAGTAAAAACACTTTTCTAATTAATATGCACTTTCAGAAAGTACTGCTGTTACATTTTTGCCCATCTTATTGAATAAATTCCCATAGTTCTCTGCTTCCTTTCTCTCCATATAAAGCGAAACTCCTCTCTTCCCAGGTTTCTTTTAACTCTAAGTTTGCCTTTATTTATTCATTTATTTTATGAGACAGGGTCTTGCTCTGTCACCCAAATTGGAGTGTAGTGGTGCATCATGGCTCACTGCAGCCTTGACCTCTCAGGCTCAAGCAATCCTCCCACCTCAGCCTTCCAAGTAGCTGGGACTACAGATGCACACTACCAAGCCTGGCTAATTTTTAAAAAAAATTTTTGGGCCGGGCGTTGTGGCTCACGCCTGTAATCCCAGCAATTTAGGATGCTAAGGAGGGCGGATCATGAGGTCAGAAGATCGAGACCATCCTGGCTAACACAGTGAAACCCCGTCTCTACTAAAAATACAAAAAAAAAATTAGCTGGGCGTGGTGGCACGTGCCTGTAGTCCCAGCTACTCGGGAGGCTGAGGCAGGAGAAAGGCGTGAATCTGGGAGGCAGAGCTTGCAGTGAGCCGAGATCGCGCCACTGTGCTCCAGACTGGGCGACAAGAGCAAGACTCCGTCTCAAAAAAAAAAAAAAAAAAATTTTTTTGTAGAGATGGAGTCTTACTATGTTGCCCAGGCTGATCTTGAATTCCTAGGCTCAAGTGATCCCCCTATCTGGGACTTTCAAAGTCCCGAGATTACAGGCCCAGCCAGACTTCATTCTTAAGTAGATTTTAAAGTCTGCATTTGACAGACGCATGCTAGAAAATAATATCAAATGCCAGAGTGGAGAAGGGAATGTAGATTCTCCCATGTACACCTCTCCCTTACTACCCTCCCCAAATTTCTTTAGTGCACAAAAGGATTATGGTAGGCAACAACAAACCAGGTTCATGTTCTTATCAGTGCAGTTCAGTCTGTTTATAAGGGACATGCTGCTAAGAGTAAGACGTCTATTGTGTTCCTACAGAAAATAAAACGTAATACATCCAAGACAAAACTATGTTATTCTTTGAGTCTATACCCATTAAAACATTAACAACCACTCAATCTAAGGCCAAACTACAAATATAAAAACCAAAAAAGTATTTCAAAATAATGATTGATGCTGCACCCCAATGTTCTCATTTTCTACCCACATACACCATCATTATCTACTTAAAAGGTCCAGGAAGTCATCTGCCTACTTTTTATTCCTTCAGAGACACCAAAGCCCGTGCTTCCCAATTAATATATTTTACATGTGAAAACACATTAATAAACTTTGCAAAATGGAAAAAGGATGAGAAAGAATGATGAGATAGATAATGTAAAAAGTATGTAACTACCAATATTCTGATAATAAGCAGTGACAGAAGAAATACAGGAAAATAGGAATCAAATGATTAGAATTTTGGTTATTGATCATTTGGCAATGAGTATATATATCAGCTGGCTCTCCAAGAAGGCAAATATTTGATTCTGGGCATTATTCTTTTCAGTTTTCTTGTTCTGAAAAAAATTCCGTTTTAATGGAAAAGGTGAAATAAAGGACAATGTAAATGATGTAGTTGCGAGAATATAAGCTTTAAAGTCAGTCCTTAGGTTTGATCCCAGATCTTCTACACTGATCACGATATTCAGGTTACTTTTACTTTCAGCACCAGGTTCCCCAAAGGTAAAATGGGTATAATACTATCTTCCTCACAAGGGTGGTATGAGAATTAAATGAGACATGAGGTATGTGATATATACAGGTACCCCCGTGCCCAATATTATCTTTTTTTAGGGTTGTTGCCAGGGAAGAAATGTATGTGGAAGTGTAATCACAAAGCCTTACCCATAGCAAGTATCATATAAACACTCATTTCCTTTCCCTTTGAATCTTTATCTAAGTTGGAGCATTTTATTATTGGCTGGTAGTCACAGCATTTTATTATTGGCTGGAAGACTGACGGAGTTGAAAATCTGTGAAAAATGTAAATAGACAGGAATCTAACTCACGTATTTGACATATTCTTTCCACTGCTGCCACCACTGCATGGAGATGATAAACCAGTTGTGTCCTGGTTGCAGACCATACCTGCTCTCTCGTTCTAACCATCCTCTGTACATACAAAAGAAATTAAATACATCAAATAAAGTTGTATGAAATAGGTGGTGACGCACAAAAATATCGTTAGAAGTTTTATAAGAAAAACCACAAAACATTTAGACGTAATTAGGAGAGACTGCCAAAATCCAATTAGTAAAACAATACTGTTTCTATTGATAAACCAATTTCAAGAGTCACAGGCTAGTATCAAGAACAATTACTTCAGGAAAAGATTCTAGGAAAAAATTAAAAATTAAAAAAAATTAGAACAACTGGTGTTCCCAATTAATTAATTACATTTTTTGCAGAATGTAACCAATGATGTTCTTCAAAACAGCCTTATTAAGGAATAATTTACATAAATATAAAACTTACCTATTTGAAGGGTACAACTCAGTGATTTTGATAACTTTACAGATATGTGCAACCAACACCACAATCAGTTTGAGAACATTTAGAACATTTCAATTAATCCAAAAAGACCCCTGTACCCACTTTTAGTCAATTCCTGTTACCACCCTCAGCAACAGGAAACCACTAATCTATGTTTTGTCTCTTACAGATTTGTCTTTTCTCAACTATTCATATAAATAAAATGATAAAACACATGGCCTTTTAAAAATTTGGCCTCTTTGACTTTGCATGTTTTTGTGGTTCATTTATTATTGTGGCAGATATCAGTTGTTTGTGCTTTATTACTGAATAGTGTTCCATTGTATGTATCTATTACATTTTGTTTATCCATACAACACCTAAAGAACATTCGAAACTGGCAAGTCAGTTTCCAAAGTGGCTGTCCATTTAACATTCCCATCACCAATTCTAGTGGGTGTGAAGCACTGTTACACTGTGATTATAAAACAAAATCTACCATATCTATCTACCTTATCTATCTCTCTATGTATGTATGTATGTATGTATGTATGTATGTATGTATCTGTCTATCTATCTATCTATCTATCTATCTATCTATCTATCTATCTATCTATCTACAGAGTCTCACTCTGTAGCCCAGGCTGGAGTGCACTGGTACAATCTCAGCTCACTGCAGCCTTGACCTCCTGGGCACAAGCAATCCTCCCGCCTCAGCCTCTCAAGTGTCTGGGACTACAGATGTGCGCTGCTATGCCCAGCTAATTTTTTTTTTTTTTTTTTAACTAGAGACAAAGTCTCACTATGTCACCCAGGCTGGTCTTGAACTCACAAAAGTGTTGAGATTACAGACATGAGCCACTGTGCCCAACCAAAAACTATTTATTTTTGAGGTGAAAATGGCATAACGTGAAATTATTTCAAATCATACAATTCAATGGCATTTAGTACATCCAAAATGCTGTGCGATCACCTCTTATTAAGTTTCAAAACATTTCCATATACCTCAATTAAAAAGTCATCCATTAAACAGTTATTCCCCATTCCCCCCAGAACTTAACCACCACCAGTCTGCTGTCTGGACCTATTGACTTGCGTATTCTGGATATTTCATATAAATGGGATGATTCAACACATGACCTTTTATGTCTGGATTCCTTCACTTAACATGTTTGTGAGGTCCAACCATGTTGTAGTATGTATCAGTACTTTATTCCTTTTTATGGTTGAATAATATTCCATGGTGTGTATATACAACATCTTGTTTAACCATTCATCCACTGATGGATGTACAGACTATTTCTACCTTTTGGCTATTGTGAATAGTGGTACTATGAAAGTTGTGTTCAAGTATTTGAGTACCTGTTTTCAATTATTTTGGTAAATACCTAGAAGTAGAATTGCTGGTACATGGAAATTCTTGCTGAGGAACTGCCAAACTGTTTTCCACAGTGATTTCACCATTTTACATTTCTACTAGCAATATATGAGTCCCTGATTTCCCTACTCGCCAAAATCTTCCATTTTAAAAATTCTAATAATCTTACTGAGAAGCAGAATTACATTGTTTTGACTTGCATTTCCCTAATGACTAATTATGTTGAGCATCTTTTCATGTGCTTGATGATCACTGAATGTCTCTGGAGAAACATGTATTCAAGTCTATTTTTAGTTGTCTATTTTTAAATTGGGTTGTTTGCTTTTTGTTGTTAAGCTGTAGGAGTTCTTTATGTATTCTAGTTACTAGACCCTTATTGGATGTATGTTTCTAAAATATTATCTCCCATTCTATAGGTGGTCTTTTCTGTTTTAAAAATAATATCCCTTGATGTATAAAAGTTTTAAGTTTTGCCAGGTACAGTGGCTCACACCTGTAATCCCAGCACTTTGGGAGGCTGAGGCAGGCGAATCGCTTGAGCCCAGGAGTTCAAGACCAGCCTGGGCAACATGGCAAACCCCCATCTCTACAAAAAATACAAACATTAGCTGGTTGTGGTGGTGCATGCCTGTGGTCCCAGCTACTCAGGAAGCTGAGGCAGGAGGATCACCTGAGCACAGGAGTTTGAGGCTGCAGTGAGCTGTGATGGTGCCACTGCACTCCAGCCTATGTGACAGTGTGAGACTGTCTCAAAAAACAAAACAAAACAAAACAAAAAACTTTCAAATTTTGATGAAATGCAGTATTTTCTTTGGTTGCTCATGCTTTTGGTGTTACAACTAACATTCCATTGCAAAATTTAAATTTTTGAGGAAAAAGTTTTGTTAGATATAGAGTTCTTGGTTACAGTCTTTCCGCCACTTTCAGCTCTTTAAAAAAATTGTCATCCCACTCACTTCTGGATTCCATGCTTTCTGATGAGAAACATGCTATTAATTTTATTGATGATCCATTTTATGGGACAAGTAGCTTCTCTTTTGCTTTCAAGATTCTCTCTTTGTTCTTGGCTTTGTAAAATAGTTTCATTATAATGCTTCTCAGTGTGGATCACTTTGTTTATCTTTCTTGAAGTCCAATGAGCTTTCTGAACGTGTAGGTTCATGTCTTATGAAGTTTAGGACAATTATTTATTCAAATATTCTGCCCTTTCCTTCTCTCTGCTTTCCTAAGATTCTTATGTTGACACACATGATGTTGTTCTATGGGTTTCTTCCGTTCTGTTCATTTTTCTTCATTCTGTTTTCTTTCTGCTCCTCAGTCAATAATTTCAATCGACTTTTATTTAACTTCTCTGATTCATTCTTCTGCCTGCTCAAATCTGATGGAGAACCCTTCTAATATATTTTTCATTTCAGTTATTATACTTCTCAGCTCCAAAATCTGTGTTTGGTTCCTTTTTATACTTTCTCTTTATTGATACACTCTATTTGTACATATATCATTCTCCTGGTTTCCTTTATTTATTTATTTATTTATTTATTTATTTATTTATTTATTAGTTTTTGAGATGGAGTCTCGCTGTGTTGCCCAGGCTGGAGTGCAAGTGGCACAATCTCAGATCACTGCAACCTCCGCCTCCCGGGTTCAAGGGATTCTCCTGCTTCAACCTTCCGAGTAGCTGGAATTACAGGAGCCCACCACCACACCTGGCTAATTTTTGTATATTTTTTAGTAGAGATGGGGTTTTACCATGTTGGCCAGGCTGGTCTCGAACTCCTGACCTCAAGTGATCTGCCCACCTTGGCCTCCCAAAGTGCTGGGATTACAGGCGTGAGCCATCACGCCCAGCCATTTCCCCTGGTTTCCTTTAGTTTGTTGTCCATCACCTCCATTACGTCTTTGAACATATTTAAGATGATTGATTTTAAATGTTTGTCTACTAAGTCCAATAACTGTGCTTCCCCAAAGATAATTTCTATTAATTTCCTCTGTGAAGGGACCACACTTTCTTGTTTCTGCAATTTTTTGTTGAGAACAACATTTTGAGCATTAATGGTAACTCTAGAACTAATCATATTTCCCTCCACCTCAGGATTTGCTTTCGTTGACTGCTATAGTTATTTGTTTAGTCACTTTTCTAAAATATTTTTATAAAGTCTGTCTTCCTTGTTATGTGTAGTTTCTTAAGTCTTCATTTAACGTGTGTTCGAAAAGCTGGTATTCCGACAGTGATTTCTTAGAACGGCAGAAGCGGGGAGAGGGAGAGAGGAAAAGAGAGAGGGAGGGAGAGGGAGGAAGAGAAAGAGAAAAAAGGGAGAGAGAGAGAGACAAAGACAGAGAGACAAAGACAGAAACCACTACTGTCTTTGCAGAATGACGCTGTGCTGGGGCATTCCTACAGTGGTTTACAACTATGCCTTAGCCTTCACTACCTGTATACTCTTAGTCTAGAAGCTCAGCCAGAGGTGAAACTGTAGGGGTCTTATAAGGTATTTTCTGACTGTGTATCTTGTTGTCAGCATGTGCAAAGCTTTCTAAATTACCTAGTGTACAGTGTGCTTTTGGGTACCCTAATTTCCCAAGGAAACTCAAGTTCCCACCACTCCCAAGACTTTCAGCATTCTATTATATGCCTCAATTAAAATCTTTTACCCCAGGTGACTGCAGGTGGCTGGTTCGTGTGCCTTACAGAACTTCTGATGAATGCCCCTGCTTTTCCATCCTGGGTAAATTCTGAGTTAAGTATAACATAGCTGAGCATCTTCCAGTAGCTTTTCTGGTAGCCCCAGACTGTTTACACAAACACAATTTGTTTTTATTTGTTTTGTTTTGTTTTGGAGACAGTCTTGCTCTGTCACCCAGGCTGGAGTGCAGTAGCGCAATCTCAGCTCACTGCAACCTCCGCCTCTCGGGTTCAAGTGATTCTCCTGCGTCAGCCTTCCGAGTAGCTGGAACTACAGGTGTGCGCCACCAGGGCCAACTAATTTTTCGTTTTTTTAGTACAGACGGGGTTTCATCATGTTGGCCAGGCTGGTCTCGAACTCCTGACCTTAACTGATCCACCCATCTTGGCCTCCCAAAGTGCTGGGATTACAGATGTGAGGCACCGCACCCAGCCTGACAAACACAACTCTTTATAAATAAGGTGTGTTCTGCTCTCTCTGAAGCCAGGGACCATGTGGGTTGCCATCTTCAAGGCTGCCATTACTAAACCAGGCAATGGCAAATATATAAACAGGCTTTTAAATAATTTTTATAATTT